ATGTTTTTATTTAAATTAGAAACATGCATGCTTCACATGTCAATTCCAGCTCCCTCTCCCATCCCTCCTCCCTTGTCCCTACAACCCCCCCCAACCCCCAGCCCAATCTCCACATTATTCCCCAGGGAGGGTAAGGCCCTCCATGGGGGGATCTCCAGAGTCTGTCATCTCATCAAGGGCAGGACCTAGGCCCTTCCCCATGTGTCCAGGCTGAGAGCATTCCATTTAAATACACCCACAGTCCACACAGTACATGACTCCTATGTAATGATGGTTGAATTGAACTTGAAAAAATATAGCATTCTATACACATTTGACTTAAGTTCTTTCTTACACTTTATAATTTTCTTTACTTCTTCAGATCTGATCTTGGTTATAGATTTCCATAAACTCATAGGTCCATAGACCTAAGGACTGGGTAATCAGAAGACCCCATCTGCCAGCTATTCCTGTGAGGCAGGGAAGGAGATTCAGGGAGAGAGGGAGGGAGTGAGGGAAGGAGGAAGGGAGGGAGGGAGGGACGGGGAGAGGGAGGGAGGAAGGGAGGGAGAGAAATGGAGAAAAAGAGAAAGGAAGAAAACAAATTTAAAAAGAAAGTAAGGAAATAGGAGAAGGGAAGGAGAAGGGCTCCTTAGTATTCTTTTCATTGCTATGAAAATACAATCATCTGCTTTCTCTTTAGGAGCTGTGAACATGGTTCAAGACCACCCATAGGCAATTCAGTCATCATTTGTTTATAGAATGAATAATTCCCTTGCATCCCCACCCTGGGATTCAGGAACACCAAGATGAATAAGCTCCTGTCCCCACCCTTGGGTCTCCCTCGGTCTACCTCATCTCATACATGAGTTTACAAGTGCCACCTTTGCTTAAGAAAATAAGGCTGGCTGATTGTCCGGGCCTTGCCACCACCAAAAGTGAATGAGTCTTCGCCTGATCGTTCAGTGTCTTGAGAACAATTTGTTCCTTTGTCTGGTTTCTCTCCATTTTTCAGATAATTTATATACCATGAAAATACACAGGTTTTAAGGAGACAAATCTTTGGCAGGAAGGTAGAACTTTCCTATCACCCAGAACATTCTCTTGCACCATTGCCCAGCAACCACACCCCCACACACACACACACACACCAGGAAGCAGCCCCTGGCCTGGCTCCTCACTTTTACCTGTCCTGGGGCTTGGTGTGGCTGGAATCAAACCAGTGAAAACTTTTGCATCTGATTTCTTTGGCCCAGAATGATTTTCTTTCAGTTTTGCTCACATTGTGTGTATCGCTAACCTGTTTATTTTTATTGCAATGATGTATCCCACTGTATAAATAGACCATAGACTCTTACCCATTCTCTTGTTAATGAATGTTTTAGCTGTTTCCAGTTTTAGGCTATTGTGATTAAAACTGGTATGAATATTTTTGTACAAGATTTTCTTGTAGATGTGTGTTTTTATTTCGCTCAGACGAATACCAAGAAACAGAAACACTAAACCATAGGCTAGCTGCATATTTGACTCGTTAAGGAACTTCCCAGCATTTTTCAAAGACACTGTAGCTCCTATATACCACCGCTAGTTCCAGAGGCTGTAAGTCCTTGTAATAGTGAATGGCATCTTTTTCATCATTGTTTTGGTAGACATTCTGAAACACATGTTGGGACTCAGGTTTATGATTCTCCCCTCCCTCCCTCACCACCACAATCCTGGAAGATAATTCCCAAACCTTACAATACTTAGCATGCTAAGAGAGTACACTACCATTGAGTTATCTGGCCTGTTTTATTTTGTTCTATTGTGTTCTGTGCCGAGGTTTCAAGATATATCCCAGACTTCAACTTCAACTCATGATCATCTTGCCTTAGCCTCCTTTGAGTGCTGGGATTATAGGTTGGGCCACAGAGCACCACCAGAACTGTTGTTCTTGTTTATGAAGTTACTTATATGAAGCACTGCACAAACAAGGTTTGGTGCCACATACCTGTACTCTCAGGACTCCAGAGGCGGAAGCAAGGGGATCAGGAGTTCAAGGCCATCCTCAGCTATGTAGGGGTTTGAAGCTACATAAAACCCTGTCTCAACCAAATGAAAATGTGTTGCTTCTTGGAACAGACTCTCACTACTTAGCCTAAACTGGCTTCAAACTCATTGACCCTCCCAGCACCACCTCCCTAGTGAAGGGATTATAGGCGTGTACAACCACACCCAGAACAAAGTCAACCCTTAAGAAGTGCTGGACACGTATTACAAAAGCCGGGTGGGGTAGAGGGATTACCCAAAGGAAGGGAGGGAGAAAACCAGCCAGAGTGGGTAAGGAGCACCAGGGACAGTAGTGGGAAGAAGAACAGGTGAAAATGGAATGGCAGGCATGCATTGAAGTGTCATAATGAAATCCATTACCTTGTATACTGACCTAAAAACTTAATACAAAATAAGAGTTGGGACTGGCCAGATTTTCTGATTAAATCAGATCCAGAATATAGTCCCCAAACTGCTCCTCCAGGATGGAAAGAGGGGTGTCAAAGGTCATACAAGCTCCAAAAAAGTCTTTTCAGGGTCTGTTTGAGGACTGCTCTACTGAGATTGCAGCCAGCAAAGACTACAACCACAACTCTTCTGTCACTTAGTATAAGAGCCCACACATGTCTGTGGGCTTTCTGTCCTCCTAGGATCAGGGCTGCACAGCAGAATGTGACATGACCACCTTTTCCTCAAATGACACATCATTTTCATACGGCTCTGGCATCATACCTGGCCACAGCAGGCATGGCAATCCACAGGTGCATCTTCACCTGCAAGAACTCCAGACATCCCATTGGAACAGACCAGCTGAGATGTATATACCAGTCTAGGTGCAGTATTGTCTCCTTTGCTGTCTGATGCAGCACCACTAGCCTTTGAACCTGAAATGCAACTACTTGGCCCCCTGATTAGCTGACCAGTGAATCACAGAGAGCTTCTGTCTACCTCCCTGTCATTGAGATTATAGGGACACACAACTGTACCTGCTGTGTGTGTGTGTATGTGTGTGTGTGTGTGTGTACATGAGTGCGTGCATTGGTGCATATATTTGTATATTTATGTGTGTCTGTGTATATCTTGTGTGTGTGTCTGTATGTATCTGTGTATCTATGTGTGTGAGTATATTTGGATACTTATGTGTGTCTGTATCTTGTGTGTACATCTCTGTGTTTGTGTGTGTGTGTGTGTGTGTGTGTGTGTGTGTCTTTGCTCCTGCAAGTGTTTGTCAGCTGGCCTTCGAGCATCCCATCATGAAGTGGTGCTTATGATACTGCATCCAGCTTTTACAATGGTTATAGGAGATCCAAACTCAGGTCCTCAGGCTTGTGCAGCAAGTAGCTGAGCCATCTCTCCAACAGGTGCCCAGCTTTTTATGTGGTTGCTGGGGATCTAAACTCAAGCTCACACTTATATGGCCAGCATTTTACCACCTGAGCCATCTCCCTGGCCTCTAAATATATTATTAAGATTAACTGTACCCATTTCTCTGTTAATCTAACTATGAAGAATCTTATATGACAAACATGCCTTACATTCTGTTTCCACTTACACCCTCTGGTCCAGCTCATACTCATATATATATGACGCTGTATATGGACACATCTCCAGGTCCAGATCAACTCAACACAGCAACATCACAGTGGAAGCAGATCAGACCCTCATACTCCCACCTCACAGGTCTTCACAGAACCTCCATCATTTAACACTGGGCCTTAAAGAAGTAACTACAAGTCCCCTATGGTCAAACCAAACTCAACAACCTGAGATGGCTGCTGCCTATTACAAGCCCAGACCATCAAAAGAAGCTGCAGGGGCCAGAGAAATGGCATGGTAGATAAAGCAAGGATTTGCTGTGCAAACCTGAAGCACAGATCTGGTCCCCAGCGTCCACATAAAAGCCAGAGAGGTATGGTGGTGGTCAGCCTGCTCTCCTAGCCCTCACGAGGTAGAGCCAAGGAATCCTCCAAGGCAAGCTGGATAGTTAGACTAACCAAGGCCGTGATCTCCTGGTTCAGCAAGTGACTCCGCCTCACAAAGTGGAGAGAAATTAAAGAAGACATCTGATAGCAACCTCCAAATGCATGTGTGCGTGCGTGCACGCGGACACACACACACATACAGGAACATGTATGCATATCACACATACACATGCCAGGGAGGAGGAGGGGTGGGGAGCAGCAGCCTCATGCTGAAATGCTGATGAGGGTGGCCAGCAGCCAAAGAAGCTGCATTCAGTACTGAAACTAATCACTCAGGTGCAAGGCAGGTAAAGGGACCAGCCATCCCGGCTTGCCTGGGACTGTTTGAGGGAGTTTCTGGGAAGTGGGACTTTCAGTTTTTAAAACCAGACAGGCCCAGGCAAAACAGAAGGAGTTGCTCACCATGTACCCAGGCATGCTCTTGGGGCTGATTCCCAGGGGTCTTACAGCAAATGGACCCTCCCACCCAACAACCAAGCCCTAAGATGCATAGAGGAGGGGCAGGGCAGACATAAAACATCTAATCGCTGCAGGCCTCACCTGCCACTGCCTTCCTCGAAGCAGATAGAAACTGAAATTCTCAAGCTCCACCCATAGAGGTAGCAGCAGAAAGAGCCTGGGGGAGCCCTTGGGCTCTGATTAGTGATCAGACTCCAAAGAGCTGTCCCGCATATGACTGATTGGCCCACTTCCCTCACTCCCTGGGGTGGGGTCAGGGTGGGGAGTCTATGCCACTCCCTGTCCAGACCACAAGCCTGTCTGCTTGTACTCAGACAGACAAAGGATCTGTCTCTTAGCTGTCATCAGCTACAGGCCCCACAGGACAGAGGCAGGGTAGGGAGTGTGTGTGTGTATGTGTGTGTGTGTGTGTGTGTGTGTGTGTGTGTGTGTGTGTGTATTTGTGGGGATGACAAAACAGTTCTGTTGTAGCCCGAAATCATACCTCAGAGGGGGAGTGTGGATTAAGAAATGGCCGGTAAAGACACTCAAAGAAAAGACAAAAACACAGGATAGAGTTGGGAGGGCATCCAGTGAATACTAAACCACCCATGTTTATTGTTAACAGTCTTTTTCACCCCCATCAAAAGAAGGGGAGAAGGAAAAATACTTCCTTACCAAGATACAAAGAACAAGCAAGCGTAATTGCCATTTCAATACCCAAAACAGCAAGTAACTCTCTCCTGAGTTAAGTATTTTGTTGTTGAGGCAGGACATGTAACAGCCACACCAAGTAATTATATCCGGAGTTAACTATTCTATTGTTTAGGTAGGACATGCAGCAACCACATCCTATGCCAAGCATCTGTTGCATCCACATCTTAGACCAGACTTCCTGTTGTCAAGGTAGGATACACAACAGCCACATCTTAGGCCAAACATTATGCAGTTTGACCTTGAAGGAGCATTGGCAGGTAAAAACCCTCTCACTGTAAGTCAAAATGAATGGAGTCAATTCTGTGGATTCCCACAGTGTGTGTGTGTGTGTGTGTGTGTGTGTGTGTGTGTGTGTGTGTGTCAGATGACCCTCTCTACCACTCCACCATCCTGTCTACTTCACGCGTGGTCTCTCACTAAATCTGGAGTTACACTAGTATTCAGCACATCCCTAGAAATCCTCTTGACTCTGCCACCATCCTCACTCCTCCACCCCCATCATCCACAGCACTGGGGTTATAGGTGTGACTACATTCAGTTTTTTACATGAGTTCTGGGGATTTGAACTCAGGTCTTCATGCTTGCACAGCAGGTGCTCCTACCTGCTGCGCCATCTCCTCAGTCCTAGGATGATGCTTTCTGTCTTGCGTTTTGCACCTAGGTCAGACCATAAAGGCCTATGATTATCAATATCTCATGGCCCTTTATTTTTGTTGGTTTTTGAGACAGAATCATACTATGTATTCCTGGCTAGCCTGAAACTCGCTATGTAGACCTGACTGTCCTGGATCTCATACAGAGCCCTGCCTGCCTATGCCTCCCAAGTGATGGTTTTTTATCTTATTGTATGTGTTTATGCATATATGTGGGGAGAGGGGGTGTATACATGTGGATGTTGGTGCTTAAAAAGGCCAGAGATATCAGAATCCCCCTGAAGTTCCAGGTGACTCAAGTGAGCACCTCACATGGGAACTAGAGACTTAACTGAGATCCTGTGTAAGAACAGCACATTCTCTCAACCATTGAGCCATCTCTATATGGCCAGGGATCTATCCCAACCTGGGTAATTATGGAGGACTTCCAAAAAAATTATGATGAGACCTAAATATAAGCAGAGTTCACTTATACCAGTCAGTGGTCCTCAACCTTCCTAATGCTGTGACCCTTTAATACATTTCCCCATGTTGTAGTAGCCCCCAACCAGAAAATAATTTTGTGACTACTTCATTACTATAATTTTACCACTTTTATATAATCTTTTAATACTATGCAATATAAATTTCTGATGCAATTCCTATGACTGTTTGGCCCCCCAAGGGGTTTCAACCCACAGGTTGAGAACCACTGACTTATACAGGACTTGGTGCCTTGAGTCCTCAGGCATGAGGACTTGAGGAGAAGCCACACAGAGGCCTCTGGAGTGGTCTTGACTCACTTCAGTATGGATACACTGAGGCCTCAATAAGACTAGGCAAGAGAACACTAGGACCTGGAATCCAGAAGACCCAACATTAGAGGACAGGATGTATCTCCTCAGGAAGAGCTCCATGAAGACTTTGGATTATAGCATCCCAGCCACAGCCTCAAGTGTGAAGTTCTGGACCACTTATCATTTCCACAGCACACCTCTGAGTCTCAGCTTCCTCATCTGACAAATGGGTGTGAAGCTCCTGTGAAAAAATTAAAAGAGAACACATGTAGAAAGCTTTGGCCGGGGGAGTAAATTCAAGATTATCCCAGCACTCAGGAGGCAGCAGGTAGACATCTCTAAGTTTAAGACCAGTCTGGTCTACATATCCACTTTCAGGCCAGCCAAAACTACATGGTAAGATCCTGTCTCAAAAAGAAAAAAAAAAGGAGAGGGAGACACACACAGAGAGAGACAGACAGACACACTCACACATACACAGACACACTCACACATACACACACACACACACACACTCAGAGAGAGAGAGAGAGAGAGAGAGAGAGAGAGAGAGAGAGAGAGAGAGAGAGAGGTTCCCCCTTAGGGTGGGGATTGGCTTTAAACCATTAGCACTACAGTGAAGAAAGAGACAATGTGTTGTGGGAACCTGACTACCTCCTGTCATTTATCTTACAGTAACAGTGATTTAAAAGAAACTCTTAGACTGGCAAAGTGCCATGGTGTGTGTCTCAAGAAAAATCCATGGAGTAAAGCCTTCTGGTGGACATTTGACTTGCAGAAACGGTGTGGAGAGAGGCATGACGAACAGAGTGGGTGGTGCCACGGGAGTGGGCCCACTGTGCTGGCAGGGAAAGCCCAGGGCAGGGACCAGCTGAAGGGCCCTGTGGGCTGTGCAAGGTGGTGCCGGAAGAGAGGAAGGCTGTGCTCTGCTGTCTTCCTCCTAGCAACAATGGCCAGGTTACTGAAGAATCAGAGGTGGTCAATGCTTTGTTGCACAGTGACAGAATGGAGCAGGCCTGAAGAAGACAAGGAGACCAGGCACCAAGAAAGAGGACAGCATGGCATGTTTAGGACCCTCCAAAGCAATGGCTGCTGTTTCTTGACCACACAATTTGACATATATTGGTCCCTCTGCCTAGAACTCCAACTAATTTTTAAATTGTTATTGTCACCCCTTTGGTTTAAGCAATCTTAAACATGTATTCTGGGGGAAGGCCCATTTTATCCTGAAGCTCACTCAGTGTAACTGGTGGTCTGGCAGAAGAACAAGGAAATGCAAATTTTAGACTTTGAGGATCATAGAGTCTGCAGCACACACTGCTACTCCAGAGAAAACCCACCCATATGAATCATACAGTCGAGAGTTTGTGTTTCACTAACTTTATTTGTACGAACAAACAGTGAGAGCCAAGGACACATCTCCATGGTAGAAGGATGCCTGGCATTTAGTTTTAATCCCCTCGATGAGCTATAAGAGAAAAGAAAAAGTGGAGGAAGGGGGGAGATGGAAGGGGGATGAAGAAGAGGAGATGAGAGGGAAGAGAGAGCAGAGGAGAAGAGAAGGGAGGGAAGTGGGAGGGGAGGGGTGGAGAAAGGAAAGGAGGGGAAGAGAAGAGGGAAAGAAAACAAGAAGGGTGTCATATAAGACTGTCCTCTGAGACAAAGGCTATCATCTTCGTGCCCGCTGCTATGCCTGTTTACAAAAATCATCCCAGCTTGGCTTGTTGATTGGGATACAGTGAGGGGGGGTCCTTGAACCCTCACCTGGGTACCCAGTCAAACTCCCCAATCATTTGAATGCAATTGTGCCCTAACTGCAGGTGGCCTCAGGGTCCTAGGGAAGGCCTAGCATATATGGGCTAGGGAAGGGGGTTCTACCAATGCATCTGTGGGAAAGCCAGCATTCATGCAGGACTGCTTTGGAGCCACCCATGCTCCTATCAGGAACCCTTTCCCCATGCTGTTAAGTAAGCTCAATAAACTCATTGATTCCCCAGAAGGAACTTTGGTGGAATCAAATTTTGGTTTTGAGTCCTTAGGAGTGGGTAGGCATTGCCTAGTCCCTGCCAGTGAAAAATTTTCAAAACACAGGGCCTGCTATATGATTTAAATTTTTCTAGTAGCCATACTATGAGGAATACAAAGAAATGGTGAATTTGATTTTCAAAGATATTTAGTTCAATACAATATATCTAAATCTTAAATGCACTGATAAATCATTTAAATAAATAAATAAATATATATATATAATGACTGTTTTTATGCTGTGATAAAACAGTAGCCAAAAGTAATTTGGGGAAGAAGGGGTTTACTTGGCTTATACTTCCATGTCATAGCCCATCCCTGAAAGGAGTCAGGGCTGGAACCCAAGAAGGAGCATAGGCAGGAACCATGGAGGAAAGCTGTTTACTGGCTTGCTTTCTTATATACCCCAGGACCACATGCCTAGGGCTGGCACCATCCTCAGTACCACATTAATCATTAGTTTTAAAAATGTCCCCTTAGACATACCCATAAGCCAATCTGATGGATGCAGTTCCTCAGTGGAGGTTTCCTCTTCCTACGTAACTCTTGTTTGTGTCATATTGACAAAAAACAAAACAAACAACAACAAAACCTGACCAGCACATGTAACAAATTTCAAGTAGTTGCTAATAATTTTGCTTTATATTGCACTGTCTTTTAAAATCTGGTGTGTTTCACACTCGGAGCACACACATCTCAATAACCACAGGTCAAGGACTCTGTATCCTCATGTGGTCACCAAACTAGACAGCACAGCTTCTGAGGGTCCTGCTGGAGAAAGGGAAAAGAGAGAGAGAATAGAGAAGGCTGGGGACATGAAACAATTATCCAAATCCAACATGGCTGCTTCTTTGCTGGGTGATTTTTGAGTCTGGTTATAAACAAATCTGGATCTCTGTCCAACCTAAAGTATTAAATGAAGATTTGGCCTTAGCCACTTGGTTGCTTCCAGATCTACAGTGTGAAGATTCCAGAGTAAGGGTTTGCAGACTAGAACCACCAAGTTGAACTTTTTTCCTAAAGAATTACCTTGGATAAAACCATCATCTTAGGGAAATCGGGGTGAAGTTTCCCCAGAGAGCCAAACTCACCAAGGACCTTTGAGAATGCATGTCTGCTCCTGGGGGACTGGGAGCGACATACAGGATGAAAAAGGGGCAGGAGAAATCTCCTTCCCAGCTGCCTGGGGGAAGAACGCTTAAACACACACATGTATGTGTATGTGCATATGCATGCATGCCCAAGCATACACATATGCACATATATACCACACTCTCATACATGAACAAAGGTGACAGCTGTGATCTTCAGCCCACCTGGGAACAGGACGTGGGAACACAAATAGGCTCTACCTGAGTCAGAGGATGAGTCAGAATGTTCTGTGGAGCCTCAGAAGGAAACTCAGGAGGGGCTGATGGTGAGGAAGGGAGCCAGGCCCCCAGGGGAGAAGGAGGGAGAGCAGGCAAAAGGAAAAGAGCCCACTGCCCCACTAACAGTTTCCCCAAACCAGCCCACACTGGGGTATGCAAGGTGGAAGGGAATTAGGAAAGAGACCCAGAGTGGGAAGCAAGCAGGTAAGAACTAAGCCAGGGTATATGGAACTGCCTCCATGAACACACAAGGTGCTCTTGGCTGGCTTCCCTGTATAGAAACTCAGCCTAATCTCTCTCACTGCAGTAGCTGAGCCTACCTGACACTAGGCTGTGTTGATAAACCATGCTTAACTGGAAAAATTGAGAAAGAGACCATGCTAAGTATACTACTTGACCAGGATGGGACAGGTGAAGCTAGTTCCCAATGCAGAGACCTTCAATGTGTAAATTTGTGTAGACACATGACCAGTGCTGGAGAGCAGCTGTGTCACAATGTCAGACACTCAGAGCTCAGGAGAACTCACCAGACTACCAGCCTTAGGTGTCCAACTTCAGTCAGGACAAGACAGGCCAGGGGAGGGCCCAGTCTGGGAAATGAGCATCTGGAGCCTGAGCCAAGTCACCAAGGCAAGGTGGCAACCAAAGATCTCAACAAACAAAGTGGGGCCTCCGGAGAGGTCCCCCCACAGATATTCTTGGCATGATTTAGCTCTTGGTTGGTACACAGGCCTCAGAGAGGAAACTAGGCTGTCCACAGCCAATACAGATTACAGGACACAGGGTAAGGAATCCCTGAAGATAGAACCAAAGCCATCATCTCTCCTCTCTCTCTCTCTCTCTCTCTCTCTCTCTCTCTCTCTCTCTCTCTCTCTCTCTCTCTCTCTCTCTCTCTCTCTCTCTCTCTCTCTCCTCCCTCTTCCTCTCTCTCTCTCTCATATATATACATATAAATCTCTGTGTGAGAGACAGAGACAGAGGGACAGCCCCATTGAACCCATCCCTCATCTCTCATCTCCCACTCTCTTTGTTTGCTTCATTCTTACATGATCCTAGTCTTAATATGAGTTCCTTCAAGAACAAGAACAGAGTCTGAGATAAGACTTGTGGGGGAAGCAGCTGATTTGAGAGTTGACCCCAGGAAGCATGAGTGAAGGAGCAGGAGAGATTAGGAAGACAGAATAGCTGCCATACCAAGGCATTACTAAGGCCATGACTATAAGCAGAGTAGATTTCAGCACACCAGGACTTCCCTCTAGGAAGGGTACAGAGGATGCCCAGAATTTTCCATCTGCAAAACAGGAGACTGGAACTTTCTGCCATTTCTACGGCCTCATGGTTGAAGGTTTCCCTGGGAATTAATTCCCTGTGTCCTATCTCCCATGCAGTATTTTTGTATTTCAAAGATTTTTTTCATTGTACTTGCCAACCACAGTTCCCCCTCCTTCCCCTCCTCCTGCTCCCCCCAACTTCTCCCTACCTACTCCTTAGTAAGGGTAAGACTTCCCATGGGGAGTCAACAAAATTTGGCACATCAAGTTGAGGCAGGACCAAGCGCCTCCCCTCTGTATCAAGGCTGAGCAAGGTATCCCTCCATAGGGAATGGACTCCGAAAAGTCAGTTCAAGTACTAATGATAAATCCTGGTCCCACTGCCAGTGGCCCTACAGACTAGCCAGGACCCAGAAATGTCATCCACATTCAGAGGGCCTAGTTTGGTCCTATACAGGTTTCTCAGCTATCAGTCCAGAGTCAGTGAGTTCGCTCTAGCTTGGGTCAGCTGTCTTTGTGGATTTCCCCATCATGGTCTTGACCCCTTTGCTCATATAATGCCTCCTAAGAATATAGTCAACAACATAAAGAACAATATGGCCCCCATGCAGTTCTAGAGAAAGCTACGGGCACAATGAGAACAGGACATGGAATGCACAGATGTGGAAGTCAGGTAGTGTGGTCCTTCTGCAGGTAGACACTACTGCTTGCTGTAGCAGGAATCAATGGAAAGCCCTAGAGTAACCAACTACATCCTCTGTGTCTTCCATCTTTAACTCAGTAATGTGCAAATACCTTCATAGACCCAAATGCCACTGCATGATCTGCCCTCTACCTGCTTTCCCATCTTAAGCTCATCCCTTCACTCACGATGCCAGGTATCCACAAGCAGCCATATTATTTCCTTTCCATTTGGACAGAGGCTTGGCTCTTGTTAATTCTATCTTCCAGAAACTCCATAGTCATAGTTACATGATAACCTCCTTCTCTCCATAGCCTTGGCAAACATATCCCCCAACAGGCACCTAGAGAGTTGTCCATGACTCATCTACCTGAAAGCAAACCATTGTGTCCTCTCTCATAGCACAGTTACGAGCTGGTAAATGTTAACAGCCAGTTCTCAGAAGAAAATAAAAGCCCTAGTGGGTTGTGATTGTCAATTCTCACAGAATAATGCTCCCAACATGGTCAATGCCAAGCTCACAATATGAAGCCACAAAGTGCAGAGTTAGAGAAAGAAGCATAGTCACCCACTGTGATGTTATATCCATAGTACAGAACCTCAAATGCAAAAGTAGTTGTAAAATAAACAATGATACATTTCATTTTAATTTTGATTTTAATAGAATGCATTTAATGCTAAATCCATACTACTTAGTTGTTTTCATAATGTCTATATTGGACAAAAGCCTCACAAAATCCCTGTAATAATGAGTCAACATGAGTCAGCTCCAATTTCCTATCACTGGGCTCTTTCCCTCTGTACACCTTTTTAAACTTGTAATTATTTTTCATCATTGCTTTCTTTATGCTGCCCTCTCTAGTGTAGCCACATTGGTTGGGGAAGCTACAACTGATTTATTTATAGCTATATCCTTAGAACCCAGTGCAGAGCCTATCCCGCAGTAGGAATTCATCGAATATTTGCCAGATGAATGTACCTACCCATAAAAGAAAAGTAGGTGTGAATAGGTGAGTGAGGTCAATGGATGTCATTGGGGTTGGGCATCTGCTAAGAACTGAAGAGGAAACACTCACCTGGATCGACCCACCTTAAATCCCAAGAGGCTTGTTTGGGTGCTACCCACAGGGTGTGGGAAGGAACTGCCAGAGCGACACAGGCTGGGAGGTTTCAGGTCAGTCAAGCCAGGCAGTGTCAGTGGAGCAGGATCTGAAATAGTTGTAGAAGGTTCTTAGGGAACCAGAGACAGTATCCACAGCCTCCTTGCAGTTCAGGTGACCCACTGGCTCTCAGACACAACCAAAGGCCACATATTCTCTGCACAGTCATTTTTACGGAGCCAAGCAGGCCATCTGGACACTAGGATTATTCAGTCTTTTCTTGTATGCCTAGAATCTCAGTCACATATGATCCCCAGGAAAGCTGCACCCAACCAGATAGGGATGACCAGCATCCAGGAGAAGAGCAGCACACTCATCAGCTCTTGAGTGTGTGTGTCATCCTTCAACAACCCTTCCAGCCAGGCACCCTGTTGCCCTAACACTCAGGAAACACCTCACTTTGCCTATCTGCAGCATCCAGCACAGAGCCTAAAGGGGGTGGGGAATGGAGAGGATGCTTGCAGCATGAAGGAGCCATGAGTAAGGCACCTTCCCAGAAAACTAAATATGAATCAACACACTTTTCCCACTCAGACAAGTCCAGGGTCTGGCATTTAGCAAGAGCCCAGAGATGTTAGGCCATATTTGCCCCTAACTGCCACCCAGGACAGTAGCCAAGAGCCCAACCCAAGTCAGTCAGACTGGAGCCACATTACAGCTTTGCCAGTCTCCAGCTTGGGCCTTAATTTTCTCATCTGTAAAATGGGGATAAATCATCACTCTCTCACTAAGAGGCTGGGAAGAATAGATGAAAGAACTGGGGACTTGTACATCTCCTGAAATGGCAAAAGAGCTTGTGATATTCTTTCTTGATATGTGAATGTTTGTATAGCAATGTCTTCATGTCTCAAGTACTTTATAAATATTTAAACATATGTATTTATATTTATCTCTGATTCTTTCTATATCATCTTTCTCTTTTTATTTCATTGGTTCAACTTGAGTTTGGTTTTGATATAGAATGCATCTCTTTCACTTTCGTATGCTTTATTATAAAGTAGAGCATTGAGATACATGACCTCTAATCAATCCATTGCTTCTAATACTATGGATCTCTCTGAAGATAGAACCAAAGGTATCATCATCATCATCCTCTCTCTCTCTCTCTCTCTTTCTCTCTCTCTGAGTGTGTGTGTGTGTGTGTGTGTGTGTGTGTCTCTTGAGTCACAGCATCTCCTAGACCTCTCCAGCTACAGAATTGATTACAATGTAAGGACCTGACACTGGACTCTGGACCCCTGTAGTCTATGTTGCTAAGAAACTATAAGAATGGTGGACACCTTGCTCACCTGCAGGGCTCTGGATTGCATGAGCTTCCTCATCTCCCCCTGATATGTGGGACCAACTGTGTAAGAGTCACTGAGACATCAAATTCCTAGCACTAAAAATATCCATTTGTTCTTTGGTCAACAAAAATATTTATTGAGTACCTACTGTATCCTACTGTATGCCAAGGGTTGTATGATGTTCTGGGAATAAGACAAGGAAGGAGATTTGGCTTCACCCATTCTGTCCTATTGGTGAATGGAAAACAAATAAATTAAAAATAGTAATAATAATAAGCTAACAATCTCCTGTCAGAAAACACTGTAAAGAGCATTAAGTAGGCAAAGAAGACAGGGTGGCTGGGCAGTGTTCCGGGGAGCTTACTTAGGAATGCAGACAGAGTCATCCACGACTCAGCAAGTGAGTATCTCTCCTGTTATATGTAGAGGCCTGAATAGCTGAAGGTCTAGAAGGCAGGGAGATACAGTCCCCTAAGATTAGCAGAGCAGGCTGAGGCGGATCAGGTGGCAGAATGAGTCACATGTAGGGACCTGGGCGTTCTTCTGAGTGCGATGGAGAAACACTAGAGAATTTTAAGAGGGGAATTATGGCCTCTTAACTTTCAGCTGTCATTTATTTGCCTGTACACAAGACCCTTTTTACATAATTTGTAGGGCATGGTGCAAACTGGAAATGACACTATTAAAAGTTTCAGGATGGCCTGGGGCTTTTCCAAGCATGGGGTCCTGCCCACAAAGCCAGGCATGCTCACACAAATCTGCATTGATTTTAACAAAGCTTTCTCAGATTTGACAGGCATGTAGTGGAGGCCTAAAATAAGCTTGGCACCATGCCAGTGAAAAAAAATGAGGGACCCTGCAACAAAGGCCAGACTGACCTTAATTTTCCTTTTGATTCTCCAAACACATAGAAGGCCAGAGGACTGGCCACCCTCACCTATTTCCAGTGGTCAGACCCACGAGGGTTCAGGCCTTCCACTGAATAGCTTAGCACAGTTGTTTTGTAATAATGGGACCGATTATTGCAGGTCCCCATCCTGCTGACACACACATGCATGTTGTATTTCACTAACCTCCTGTTAGGACTGGAATGTGAAATGACCATGAAGGCTAGTGGCTTGAATGCTTGTTTCCAAATCTAGTGGCACCGTCTGCTGAGGATGTGGAGTCTTTCTGAGATGTGGCCTAGCTGGCAGACATAGCATACAAGGAGGAGCCTTTGAAGGTCACAGCCTGGCCCCTGGTTCTAGCATCCTGGCTACTTCTTGGTCTTCTAGACTGTGGCTGACTAGTACATTCTCCCATCACTATGACTGCCATCCTTCTGTGACAGCGAGTCTTCATTATCAATGTGGTGGCATTTGGAAGCACCAGAAGCTCTCTGGGCATGCCTGAGAGATTACCTAGATTAGATTAAGAAAAGTGGGAAGACCCACCTTACATATGAGCAGTGCCACTGTACAGGCTGGGGTCCTGCTTTGTCACTCTCTGCTTCATGACTGCAGATGTTATTGGGCCAGGAACCTCTAGCTCTTGCCACCATGACATTCTCCCATGATGGATTGTACCCTGGAACTATCAGCAGAGGAAACCCTTCCATCCTCAAGCTGTTTTGTTGGGTATTTTTGTTGCAGCAAGGACATAGTAAACAACACACTTCTGCCATGGTGGCCCCACTGACTACACAAGCCCCTGGTAAATCTTTCCTCCCATAATGTGTTTCTGTTAAATATTTTGTTACAGCAGCACCGTAGTAACCAATATGTCTCCCCACACCAGCCTGCAATAAGAACCATGCAAGGAAAGCACAAGATAAGAAATCAAGGTCCAAGAAGAATGTTAATTCTTCAGAGCTCTGTCTGTTCCCTGGTCATGGGTAGAGTTAAGACTTGAACTTGCAGCCCTCCTCTCCAGCTGCACAGTCCTGCCTCATGCTCTCTGTACAGTCATGTGACTGATGGAATGAAAGAGTCAAGCTGAGCCTGGTGGTGTGGGTCTTAATCCAAGCTATTCAGGAAGCTGAGCAAAGAATATCACAAGCCTGCCTGTACTACATAGTGAGCCAAGGCTAGCCTGTGAGCCAAGGCTAGCCTGAGTAACATAGTGAAACCTTGTCTCAAAATAAAAGGGAAAAGAGAGCAGAGACTGTAGCTCAATGGCAGAGCACATGCCTAGTGCTCCCTACTGCTGACAAAACAAAGATTGAGCTTAATAACCTCAAGGAGTCATGCCTATGGAGTTTTTGCTATGCCCATGCCTTACATTCAACTCTCCATGTAGGTTTTCTTAGCCTTTTCTATCCTTTATCCTCCACTTTCCTGGTGGAAACCAAGACTCAAGGGTTAAGTAACTTGTCCAATGCTCCCTACTCTCGAAGCAAAAGCTGGTGGTCAAACCCATGCAGATGAACCCAGCCTCTCAACCCTTGCCTCTAATCCCTCAGTTGCTCCCCCTCCACGAAGGCCAGGCATGGTTCTTGCTGCTGCGTTCCATTGGTCACACTCGAGTTAGAAAGGTCAGAGCTCAGAAGTCTAAGGAACCTTGCCCAGGGAGACAGTCTGAGGCTTTGACCCAGTGTCAACATAAGAGCCGAAAATTGCTTCATGCCTGGCCCAAGAGGAACAGGAAAGTCTGACTTCTCCCCTCAGCATGGGAAAGCGGTCTTTCTTTAAATAAATTTATAAAAAAAAGCAAGAACAGAACATGAGTGTGGCATGTCAAGGCCCTTTCCCGTTGCCTGGGTCTTTGGACCTTAGAGATGGTTATCTCGAAAGAGGAAGACTCCCTCCCTCTTGGTTTCTAGCCTTCCTTAAAGAACATACCAAGAGCAAGAGTCTGGGGCCAGGCTTAACCCAGGAAGAACAATTCTTTGCTCTCTAGTACCATCCAAGAGAGGCCCAGCTTCACCCTGGCTCTGTCAAAAGTGAGGCAAGCTAAAGACACCACAGGAAAAATTCAGCGAGGAAGAGACACACAGCTCAGGTCTGGAGGCCTCTGCTAGTGTGTCTCCTCTTCCTGTGTCCTATGGTAATGCTTCTGTCTGTGAGAACTCAGCAAGATCTGTGCTACCCACTTTGTCGCTATTGATCCCTTTTTCCTGAACCAAGTGAAATATCCTCCACTAAGGAGTATGTGAAGATAGGAAAATTTGTTTCTAGGTTCCATGGAGTTACAGAAAGTTTGCTATGGAAAGCAATGGGTACAGTGCTCGCAGGTGTGGTAATAACAGATTATAAGTCTCGGGTTCAAGTTCCCTTGGTAAAGACCTGAGCAACCTTTGCTGCAGGGGCCCCTTTTCTCGTATTCTTAATATCAGTTCATTCTCTTACCAAGTTGGTCTCTTTTGATCCCTGGGATCTCCAAGGGTGCCTGCTTCTTACTCTTACCAAGAAGTCTTCTGGGTTTTTAAATCCTAACCCTACAGAAAGTTCTTCCATTTAGGAGGGCAAGGGAAATGTCTATAGGCAACTCATTTAATTCCATACAAAGATTATCTCTTTAAAGGGGTTCTCTTGTTGTCTTTCCTTAGTTGTAATAATATAAAAACAGATTAATCCAGCCTTGGTGGCTTAGCAAGAACCTGTCTCAAAACAAAATGAAACAATAAATAAGGGCTGTAGAGATAGCTCAGGGGTGGGGCACTTCCCTAGCATGAAAGAGGCCCCAGGTTCAAACCTCGGTAGTACATACAAACATAAATAATAATAATAACCCTGAAAATTAGAATGCTGCTAGAATATGAAAGTCCCTTTAATGTTTTCCTTTTACTAGGAATGCTGCATGTCTTTTATTTGTGTATTCTCCACTAACGTTTTCTTCAAATATGTATTTAACAACAAAACTATTCCTAATTGAGCATCTCCCTTCTGCTAAGCATCTTTAAAGCTTACCTCATAAGAAACTTACAGATATCCTTATCAGAAAATGATGAATGTATGTCATAGCCAGAATGGATGTGGGGTAAGCCTGCTGACACTCTGTCCAGACTGGGAGTCTTTCCAATCAGGTGGCCTTGGACATGTTACCCAAGCCCTCTGAGGTTCACTTTCCTCATCTTTGAGAACAGTAATGGTATCTCCTTTGCTTGGTGGCTATGAAGATTAGATGAGATAACAGAAATAAAACATTTAAATTGCCTAATAAACAAATTCAGTAAAGTTGCAGCCTACAAAATCAACAAGCAAAAGGCAGTCACATTTCCATATGCTAACAATGAGTGATCTAAAAAGTAATTATGAAAATGATTCCACTTAAACAGAACAGAATGTTTAGGAAGAAGCCAAAGAAGAAAGAAGCTTTATAATAAATACCAAAGGCAACAAAACATTGATGAAACACACTAAAGGAGACGCAAATGAACACAAGACCTAATATGATTAAATATCAGTAGCTCCCAAAATCACCGACAGATCCAACCAGCCCCTACCAAAAATCCCAATGGTATTTTTGCACACACAGAAAAGGCATCCTAGAGCCAGTGAGATAGCTCAGCAGGTAGAGGTGTTTGTTTGCCTTGAAAACCTGAGAGCCTGAGTTGTATCCCAGAACAAACTCCTAAAATTTGTCCTCTGACTTCCACATACTCACTGGAGAATGGGCTTGCCTCCTCCCTCATAGCATGCCCACAATAACATAATGATAATGATACTTTTATTATTATTATTTAATTCTGGAAACTTTAGTAACACGAAATAGTCAAAAACAATCATTAAAAAACACAGTTTGGGTACCTAACATTTCCTGATTTCTAATATCGGCATAAAGACAGACATATAAGCCAATGGAGTCAAATAAAGACCACCACATCAACTCTTTTGTCTTTGGCAAAAACAACAAAATCACACAAGAAAGGACAAACCCTTCCACTATGGCATTGAGAAACTGGATACACACTTGGAAAAAAAAGTAAAGTTGGGCCAATACTGTGCACCATATATAAAAGTCAAAACAAAAATGGGCTCAAGACATTCACATATAGGACCTGAGACTTTCAGAAGGCAACAAGTAGAAGAAGCTTCATAATACTGTACTTGGAAGTGACTTCTTGGATACGACACACACAAAAAAAAAACATATGAAAATGAGGAAAAAGAAATAAATGAGATTATATCAAACTTAAAACTGAAATAAAGGGCACAAAATTTAAGGTGACAGGTGTGAGCACATTGATATATATCACTTGAAGCAACACACGAAACCCAAAAATGCACAGTAGTCACTCAGAAATTAAAATAAGTTACTTAAAATAACTTTTTAAAAGTTTATGTTAATACAAAACCATATGTAGTAGACAAAAGGGTTATTAACAAAAATAAAAGGCATCCTACAGAGTGGGACAAAATAGTTAAAAATCGCATGTATGAAAATTTCTACAACTGAACAAACATTCTGGATTTTTTTTAAAAACTGTAGACATGTCTACAATGATCATAAGCAAATTGTTGACAAGAGAGGAAAAAATGTTGAACATAAGTAATCATTAGGAGAATGCAAATTAAAAATTACAGTGAACTCCACTCCCAGCTGGGTGACTACAGCCCACCCAAAGATATAAAGAGCAAACTAACAACTGTTGGTGAGCACATGAAGCTTTGGGGACCCTTTGGCAGTTGATGGGAATGTAAAATCAGGTATAACTGTTAAGAAAAAATAGTATGTTTATTCTTCAAAAGAATTAAAATATAATTAGTCACTACTGGTGAGATTATATATATATGCATATATGTGTGTGCATATATATATATATAATGAAATAAAATGAATGGGTTCCCATCCAACAATGAGAGATGCACTCTCACCCTGGACTCTTGGGGGAGGGTCTGGGCCCTGCCCTGGATGAAATGACAGACTATGGACACCCCCATGGAGGGTATCACCCTCCCTGGGGAAATGAGGGGATATTGGAGGGGTTGGTGGGAGGGCGTGGGAGGAGGGGGAGAGAAAGGGAGAGGGACCTGGGATTGACATGTGAGGTAACCTTGTTTCTAATTTAAATTTAAATTTAAAAATAAAATTAAAAAAATGAAAGTAAGAGCTCAAGGAA